GTAAGGCTGATCTCACCGCCATCTGTGAGCCGATTGTCTAGAAAATGTGGGCGCCTCGACCTCTCACAACCCTGTGGGCCTCCACGGCCTGTTGCAGGGATACCTTTATTTATTTTTACTGTCTGTTTAAAGTATCAGTGCATCTGTAGACAAAATTTTCCGCAGAGCCACATGTGGCAGTAGCGAACATTAAATTCTGAAGGCCTCTCGTTGATTTGGTCGGTACACGTACACGCCATATAACTAACTTTGTTTTTAATAATAATTCAATTCCTTTTTATTTATGTGCCGAGTTAACAGCTACAAGGCCCAATTACAGACACGACACAGTGTAGATACAAGTAATTATATTGTGGACAAACACAACACAAAATCAAAGACTAATTAAATGTAAGCACTCGAGCAAAGAGACATTCATGTAGAAAACTAAGCAAAACACAAACAAAATAATAATGATTTGATTAACATAAATCTAAGTTGCTATTGAGAATAGAGAAATGTAAAATATAAATATTAGAAACAACAATAATAATTATAATAATTAAGCCATCAACATAAATCAAACCTATCATTGAGAAGTTAGAAAATTAAAATATANGGACTTTTTCCCCTTTCCTGTAAATTCCATTATTTCGATGAAATTTTTCCGCTTCTGATGTACGTGGTTAGTGTTAAAGTATATGTGTGTGTGTTTTCAAAGTTTATTTCTAAGATGGCGGCTAATAAACACGTGGTTTAGATCTTCGTGGCCGGAATTTCTTGCCCTTACGATAAACTGCGCATAATGTCGCATAATTCTGATGAGAAGGGCGACCGCGTGGACTCACTTTCATCCTTGCCGTTACGTCGCAGAAAGACGAGAAGTCTGCGTCATTACATTTCCACGGAATACCGAGATGTGTTCTTTTCCGAGAAACCATGGACCCTCATGTCTCGTTTATTTTCCCAGAAATAAATTGAAAGCTCCCGTTTCACAGGGCGCAGTCAGCAAGTAGCGTGGCTTCAATATTTGGCACAATCCTGCGAAAGCTGCATTCATTCTTTCTTGTTACGGCTTTTTCTTTTACAACCGACGCCAAATGAAGTGCTTTCTTGGTACAAATTTCTCTCCCGTAAAACTAAATGCTTTACTTAGAAGTTTATATAATACCTGTTTTGTTTAAGCATCCACACGAACGCCATGCTGGAACCATTAATTACGTCAGAGTCTATGCATGATTGTAGGATGGGCAGACGTAACGCATACATAGAAATTACAAATCAAGGTCAATTTGAATTATTTTTACTTCGTACTTACATACTGCATTGCATATTACGATTTTAACATGTGCCGAGTCTTGTGTCTGCACACGTGCATGTGAGTATGCGTGCATGTGAAATATGACGTGTACTGAGATGCAAAATATACGACACCCAAACTAAAACAAATACACGTAAAACTGTGCAAATGTAGTAGTTAGTAGTGTGTGGGTTTGATCAAGTCAAGGAGGATGAGATGGGCAGGGCATGAAACACGAATGGGGGAGACGAGGAATGCGTATAAGATATTGGTGGGAAAGCCAGAAGGAAAGAAACCACTGGCAAGACCAAGGCTTAGGTGGGTGGACAATATTAAAATGGATCTTAGAGAGATAGGATGGGATGGTGTGGATTGGATTGATGTGGCTCAGGATAGGGACCAGTGGAGGGGTCTTGCGAACACGGTATTGAACCTTCGGGTTCCATAGAATCCTGGGAAATTCTTGAGTAGCAGCAGAATTGGCGGCTCCTCAATAAGGGCTCAGCTCCGTGAGTAAGTATCTATGTTGGTTGCTTTATATGAAGAGAGGCGCGAATGTAAGTGAATACAAATTAACAAAATTAATTATACGGCACAGACGTTTCCTCTCACCTCATACTAAATTTCCAACTGGCAGCTTTTGAAGGGGTTTGCCTATAAAAAATTTTGTGCATTTCTTTCCTCTTACTTTACCACTTTACCTGTGTTCACAACACCCTCCTAGGTTTCAGTTCTCTGTCTCACAAAATTATTGGTGGAATTTGGCCATCAACACAAAAAAAAACTGCAGGGCCTCTAATCTGCAAGGGAACTATACCGACCGATAAACCGCCGCTTGTAAGCGAAGTTAGTGCCAACTTTTGCGGATAGAGGGTGTCATGTGGTCAGCGCAACGGATTCCCATGGCCGTTAATCTATGTTTTCTAGACCGGAGCCGCTATTTCCTTTAAATGGCTCCTCAATTATACTCAGGAGGCTGAGTGGACCCCGTTCCAGACCCACTACTTCTCAGAAAATCTGGTAGCGCCGTCAACACAAAAATAAAAATAAACCAAACGAACTTTGGCAGTTGCTACATGTTTCGATCCGCATATGGGACCATCTTCACAGTTATTGAACTGACCTAATAAGGATCCATATTAGTACTACTCATCAGAGCCGCGCAATAACCGCAAATGTCACGAAAGTTGTAAGAATTTTTCTAATTGAAAATTTTTTCAAAATTTAAAGTTCCTTTACTTTGAATATAAAATTCTATGTCGTTTCTTGTGTTTATTTCCCTCGTTGCATGTTGTTTTTCGCCAGGGTTTCGCTGTTACACTATAACTATAGAAGCTATTGACGACAATGCTGTCAGTTTTTAGTTTGTGCTCACTTATCTTCTTGGGTATGTTGCCGTGATTTGGTTTCTTACCTTAGGGTGTACTGTGTATTCCTTCTGTGTGGGCGATTATGTCATATCTGTTTCTGATTACAGTGTCAGAACGTTACAAAATTCTGTGTACAGATCACAAACTTTTTTTTTTCCTTGGCACTACAGCCGCAGTAGGCCTATGCCTACCTCCATGAACTTCTCCGTTCACTTCGGTTTTTCTAGATCTTACACATTCGGTAGGACATCTTGGGCGGGTGATCAGCTCGTCGCAAGGCCTCTACCTGTACAAAACACAGAAAAACGCACACACACAAACTAAACATCCATGCCCTGAGTGGGATTCGAACCCACGATCCCGGTTTCCAAGCGAGCGAAGACAGTACATACCTTAGACCGCTCGGCTACCGTGACCGGCGATCACGAAGTTTACCATCATATAAAAAATAAAGTTATCCCTGCCCTTAATTATCACGGCATTAAGGCATATGGGGGAGTGGAGGTATAGTTTCACCATTCTTGAACTCGGCAGTAGATGTTAAAGGTCAGTTTCACGACTGTCACCTTAGCCCCAGGAAACAGCAGCTGGTACGCTTTGTACAGGAGGTTGGGTGAGCCCCAGGGCCGGTCTGGACACTATATAGAAGACAAATTCTTTTGCTGCAGCCAAAAACCGAATCGCGCCTCCTCCATCTTTATGTAGTGCCCCTGTATCGCCTATTCACTTCATCCTGCTTAGACCCAAATTAGTCTATAAGCAACAAAATTGGATATGTAATTGCATATGCAGGATTTTCTATGATTTATGGTGATCTCAGTTATGGGTGTTCGAGATATCAGGAAGGGCTGAGAAGAGTAGGAGCTGCATGAGTGTTTCTCACAGCGTCAAGTTCTTCACTTCGTCAGTGACATGTCGCCCCAGGCCACAGTTGTGCAGCGCTACGTTACAATTATCGGCCATCAACGTTCTAACGTCTCATGCGACTCCAGTGCATAGAATTTATTCTGTAAAGTTAATAGTTGGCTCAATAGTCTCGATACAGACGGCGTCGTTAAATGGACAACTAAAAAATGTTGGATCAGGTAGTCACTAAATTCATTTGTAGGATTTGAGGTTCTCATAGCGGATAGCGCAGTCGGTATAGCGACTGGCTACGGGCTGGACGACCGACGGGTCGGAGTTCGAGTCCCGGTAGGGTCAAGAATGTTCTCAATGTCGTCCAAACCGGCTCTGGGTTCCACCCAACCTCCTATCCAAGTTGTACTGGGGCTCTTTCCCCGGGGGTAAAGCTGCCGGGGCGTGAAGCTGAATGCTCACCTCCAGCTAGTGCTGAGGTCAAGAAATGTGGATCTATACATCCACTCCCCCATACGCCCTAATGGCGTAGTGCTTAATTAGTTAAGCACAGGGACAACTTTACCTTTACCTTAGCGGTGTTTATGAGGAATTCCATGTCATGGGGTATAACACCGTGTAGTCCGTTTAAAGTCAGTCGACGTTTCGGAGGAACGCTTCTCCTCCATACTCAAATTTGGGGAATAAGCTAATGAAGACACCACCATGAAGGAGATAGCAAGCAGACTGAGGCCGCATGTTTCTCCAGAATATCAGCGGCTGCACTGCGTCATGCCCCAAAAGATAGCGCACGTACTACTCGTACATTTCGCAATTCATGAATCCTCAGCGACCATATTCCCTTCTTCTTCTTCTACGTCAAGCATTAGATCTCAAGGCCTGGTGCGGCTCCTCAGATTTGGCTTCCACGAAGACTTTTATGTGGTGAGGTTGCCAGCCCACCGCACAACCCCCAAACTTGAGGACCGGACACTTCTCTTCGTCTGGCCCCTATCCAGTAACTTTACTAGCATGGGTGGCCCTACCAGGTGTTTTTGCTCCCGCTAGCGTCGCTCTCAAGGTTACTGGTAAAGATTCATGTGTGTCTCCCCAAAAGTTCATCTCCAGAGCTTCTCTCTTGAGGCAATTGAATCCATGTCATACCGCTCCACATCATGCTTCTCTAAGATCCATTCGCATATTAAACCTTCTCCTCCCACGTTATAAGTATTCTAGGGTTTCCTGAAGAAGATTTATGCTTTTCTCGTGAATGCGATGCTTTCCTCTCAACTCAGCCTTAATTAAATCACCCTAAGGTTATCACGTGTTGAGTAAAAATTTTGAGCTTTCACTTTACTTATTTTCTCCAACCTGTTACGTTATCTTTCTTGAATCCAGATATTCTCCTGAGGACCCTGTTTTCGTATTCTTTCAGTTTATATTCTTACCTCAGAAGACCAAGTTTCATACCCACATAAAGTAAGAAGTAAAATTTAGTGTATTTTAAGTTTCAGATTTTTGGATGATGTAAGCATAAACAAGAATATTCCGCACTGAAGAGCAAGTAGCTATTTTCCAGATTTGTTCTTCATTAATCTTGAATTACACCAAATAAAATAGTTACAAATGTGACATAAAATTTCAATACAGTTTGTACCACAGTAAGAGTGAAATATGTCTGTCATGATTCACGGAAAGCCTTCACGTCCCTCTTTAAGACAAAGAAGATCCAAATGTGTTGTAACACGGCAGTCGAAATGTCCTGAATCACTGTAACCCACATAGCATGCCGTCCTTATCTCTTAAATTGAGATAGGCTCGCAAATTCGCCTAGAGGAGGGAGCCATTTGACAACATTAGTGTGAGAATCATGATTCACATGGCACGTTCTCAGTGGTTTTGTTGACCAACTGGCCAGGAGAGAATGTCTTAAGGCACAGTGTTTAAAAGTGACTAAACTGGAAAAGAATTCCATCAGTAGCGTGTTTTATAATGTGATAAAATATCGTCCATGGCATATAGGACTGTCTGTCCGTCCATCTGTGATCTAGCATAAGCGCATAAACAGTTGCACGGATTACTTGAAACTTCGACATGGCAAACTTTCACTAGACAGTCTCAGACAAACTGATTCATAACGAAGCCTTGTTTACATAAGGGTACAAGTGAACCTGTTCACATTTCTCTTAGTGGGGGGTGGAGTCCAACTGGGTAATTGTAGCCTGTCCCGGGTGATTATGATGATGGAGAATTTGGTGGAATGAAGATTGGCAGGGGAAACCGAAGTAATCGGAGAAAACACGCCCCAGCGCCACTTTGTCCACCACAAATCCCACTTGACCAGAACCGGGATCGAACCCAGGCCGCCGCAGTGGGAAGCCGGAGACTAGCCGCTTGAACTACGGCACGGCCGAACCTGTTGACACAGATTATAACCCAAACTATTCAACAAATTTAAGTAAAATTCGATACGAGAGGTATAGGCATAACTTTACTTGCTCATTTCGGTATTTAACCATATTAACCAATTACAAATCCTACTTTACACGATACTATAAATTGATCGTTTTCATGTATCTCCCTTAAACCGTTTCATTTTGTATTCTGCTGAAATTTCATTTATGAACCAACCGAAAATAACCTTAATAAATCACAACGAACACCGCTGGAAATGTTGTATGCTACATTAGGAAGTACAAATTTGCCAAACTTGATTAGATAAATTTCAGTCTTCAAAGGGTTAGAACATCCGACAAGGATTTCGTGGGTGCAGAATAAAATGAAGTCATTTAATTTTGTCCTATTCTGAACCAAATCAGATTTTCACAGCCTGCTTCTCTCAGATGGAATAAATAAACATTATCATTTCATCGACGCCGACGTCTCTTAGTCGTTTCTTTCTGTCTTGAGAGTTCGAAGGAAAATGTTGCTTGGGTGCTTTGTTTCTCTTATGAATGCTGCTTGTCCATGTTGTCCCCAGTATTAGTACAGTGAGTGCAAGACCAGGAGCTCTTTATTATATAATTTTATACTTTTTCTGTTAACCCAGTTCTCTTAATCCAATTATTTTTGCTTAGTGAATATTCTCAAACTCCAGCTCTTTGTATGATGCATTTCGAACGGTTTTCTATGAAATTGATTCAAGTGAGATCTGATATCCTCACTTCGGCGAATATCAAGATGGCGGTCTTCTAACAATGAAGACGGGGGCAGCAGGTCCCACTGAAACATTGGTACCTGTCTACCAAAGTATCTGGCGTCATATCCTAGAAGACTGCAATATTCTTTATTTTCGTCACGCCACAGGTTCTGACTTCACGTCAAATTGGTGTTGCATGCTGTGGGGTATATCGGTGACGACTCCTGAAGAAGTGCTTGGCCAATATTTCGCGAAATAAGTGAAACTCCGCCTTCCTCGTGTGCGCTGCCTTGCAAATAGAATTACGTCATCTCTAATGTGGGCGGGAAGCATCAAGTCACTTGCTGCTTACAGTTCCTCATTCTGAAGCCAACCGTTTTAGTAACAATTATAGTATAAATGCGAACACGTGTATGGTACCCTAGTTGCAATTGCAGTTTCGGGCTGCATGCGTCACCAAATATGGAAAAGGACTTACAATTCAAAGGGCCTCCGAAATATTCAGGATGACACTAAAATTGATTGTTTTTCGAAAGAAGGAGTAGAAAGTTGGTGATGAGAGGATAGAAATAAATGTCAGGGCATAGAGAACATGTTAATTTGTGTAATGTTTATGTTGGATGATTTCTGGAAAACATACGTTCACTTAAATTATATGCTAAACAAGGTAAGGCAGGGGTTTTCAAACGCTGTGATAAGGCAACACCAGAAAATAATACGTACATTTTCGCAGCCCCACCACCTCTGCCAGAGAGCGAAACCCTTCAGTTCTGCACAGTCTGCAACATATGCAGTTTTATTTTATAGTTTGCGGTTTGAAAATTATAGATCATGGAAGCCCGACAGAAATTTAGAATCGTATTGTACTTAAAATCAGCTTTCGCTTTTCAATGCGCTTTCGCGTCATTTTCACATTCACTTCTACACAAACTCTTGCAACTGGAACAGAGCCTATGAAAAACCAAAGAAGCTTCATTCTGTGTAAGTGGTATGTCCACTGTCCTTCATACTTTATTCTCTATTATTTACGTCGAATGCAGATCCATTTAATTATAACGGGGCATAAATAACTGAAATAAGAAAAATCTTCACCCGTCACACTAGACGAAACGTTTCATGATATTGTTAGTGTGACGGACCAGAATGAAACGAATCAAATCGCATTTCATTATCTTCTAACGTCTGCTTTCTGTCTTCATTAGACTTTTTTGATAAGCCAACATGATCATGGAAATGCACTTTTACTTGGTTTAAACTGTAGGATATTAGAAGATTAATAGAATTCCTGGCCATTGCATTGCGGCTGCAGTTTGGAAGTGCTGTGTCTCGGAGTCGGTGACATTCGTGTTCTTCTTTAACGTGTTTGATGTTACTTCCAGCGGTAAACTCTTGCTCAGATTAATTGCTTTTCGCCAGACGGGTTCCAGTCCGTAAATAAACTTTGTATTAATAGAAAATCCAATATCAGGAAAGAGATGCCTTATATGATGGAGTGAATACATGTGTGACCATTACGTTGCAGGCTACTTGCGAAACACAGCCCGGAAGAGGCGTGCGGCTGGGTGAAATAAGGTTAAAATTCGTTTGTAACGAAATGACTTCGGTAGGAACCCGCAACTGTCGTGGAGCAGAGAACAGAATGTATCTCCCATGTCAAGGAAATGAAGAGACTGTGCATATTTTGTTGAACTGTGATGAAATGAGAAATTTAAGAGCAATGTGACTATATAAGAAATAAAAGCACAATAGGCCACTGTAGGTCGCGGTGCAAGGGCCGAGAAGGCCCACCCCTTACACATTCATTCATATAAGAAATAATGAATGAGAGATTAGGGTATAGAAAAATAGCCATTTGTACAATCAGAGTAACGACTAGGTTACGGACTGAATGACCGAGGAGTCAGGGTTCGATTCCCGAGAAGGGTAAGAGATTATCTCTTGTCCATAACGACCAGAACCGTTCTCGGGCCCGTCAGCAATGGGTACAATGGGTACCCGGGGCTCCGTCCTATCCGCAAAGTGGATAGGGTCACGAAACTGACCACTCACCTCCGTCTAGTGTTGAGGTCAAGAACGACGGAGCTATACCTCCGCTCCCCACACGTTTCCATGGCGTGGTGCTTAAGTAATTAAGCCCAGGGATACTTTACTAACAAACGTTAGTTTAGATAAAAACGAAAATATTGCGGCATATTTGCTCAAATCAAGAATTGTGGAGCCACACAAACAGCCATTGCTAAGTAACGGCTGTGTAACACGTAACAATGGAGTAACTGTTTGAAGTTGTGTTTTCTGTGCGGTCCGTGACGAGGCTATATAACATTTGTAAAATGTCAAGGGGCTTAGAGAGAGCAGGACAGTAACTTTCATATAAGAAAAAAAAATCTGGTCCGGGGCTCGACACCAAGACAGACAGACTGATGGACTGATGGACTGTCAGTCGCAATGTGACTTGGACTTGGAAGGGGCTCAGACCCGAGAAAGACTGCACTGGCAAGGGCCAGCGGCATATACAAATGGCAGACCCGTCCTCTCGTCAGCGAGGGCGCCCCACAAAAACAAGACCGTAAATGCCAAACAGTAATAAATATCTGGTCATGAGCCCCAGATGGGGCTCGACACTAAGACTTACTGACTGACAGGCCGTCGGTCGCTATGTGACTTAGACTTAGACTTGGACTAAGAAGTCAGGATTGCCCGTGTGGAGGCGGGGTCGAATACCTCCATCGTGACCCTACGAGTCGTAGGAGGCGACGAGAAGGGAAGTCTCAAATCTGAGACAGTAAAATAAGGTCGCAAGTCCCAAGGGATTAAGACCCGAGAAAGACTACACTGGCAAGGGCCAGCAGCATATACAAAAGGCAGACCCGTCCTCTCGTCAGAGAGGACGCCCCACAAAAACAAGACCGTAAATGCAAAATAGTAATAATATCTGATCATGAGCCCTAGATGGGGCTCGACACCAAGATTTACTGACTGACCGTCAGTCGCAATGTGACTTGGACTTGAACTTGGATTTTCATGCAATGATACATATTTGAGTTCCAGTCTTGAACGTGTAAGGTGTCCTCTTCATAATTTCGTGGATTCCGGGGGGAGTGAAGCATTTTATATGAAAATCTGTGCCTAAAGATAATGTATTCACGAATTATTTTAAGTCAGTAACAATTTATTATGATCATCATCACTGGCAAAACAGCCCTCTTTGAGCCGTAGCATTCCTTATAAGATTCTTCCAGATTGCTTTTGGGTTTCACTTCTTTGGATTTGTTGACAATTTTTCACAGAGCAAGTTCGTCAGCCTTGAGTCCAAACTCGAACCTTTGTGTTTATGTTCTCCAGCGACAGCCGGGCTCAATCATACCCCCCAAGCACCGGGTTCCCTTTTCCTCTCTTTCTTCGACCTAAATGACGCAAGATTGTTGTTAGCTGCAGGTTCTCCTTCGAAACAAGAATGAGACAAAT